TTCCTACGTTACTGACCGCAAACCGCAAAAAATAATAATTAAAAATACAAGATAATCATTATTTAGTTAATTTGATAGCATATAACTGCCCAGTTCGGCAACTATATATGACGAAGTTATGCCTGAACATGACGGATTAAGATGTTCGTGTGGTGACGGATTAAGAATACAGAGTTTCATACATCCCGTGGGTGTCGTAAGAGCCGACTAAGGGAGTAAACTATGCAGGACAACAGCACTGCAAAGAGAAGGCAAACTTAAAACAAACCCTATACCAACCCGTCTGGCCAGCGTGGTATAGTAGGCCAAAACCTCCTTTCTAAGGAGAGACATATGTCCAGCAGAGGACTATTAAAGGCTGATGATGATGATTACATATATAATTGACTAGTATTCATATTAATTATACCACACTACTTTAAAATAAATAATATTGATCATTACTTTTTCATAAAACAGGTTAAGACATTTGTGTGTAAGACAAGAAACTAGCGATTTTATTATACCCGTATCTACCCATGCGTATCGCAAATATCCCGCAAGAAATGACACGTATAATTACGAATCAACTCTTATTAAGAAAGAAATAAAGCTCTGTTTTTTTAAAGTTCTAATATTCTCTTTTTTGCGGGTTCTGCTTAATTAAATCTGAAAATTGCAAAAGAGTGGCCATGAGTTTGTTTGCCCTTTCTTTCCATAAGGCTCAAGGCCTTGGAAACGGGCGGTTGTAGATCAGCACAGGCATATCATGGATTTTGTATGTTTTTTTTTTAATTACTTTTTTTTCAAAACCAGATATTCTTCCTATTGTGTGTGTGTGATCTACGACTTGGAAGTCTACATAAAAGACGATTTCAAACATTTGTTTTTAGGAAATAAAGATATTTTGAATTTAAGTAACCTTACGCGTCTTTTACCACCCAAAAGGACACCAATAGCATTTTTCAATAAAAATGACACCTCGTAAGTAAACTCGATACTAGATATAGAACTAGATAGATGTAAGTAAACCCGAAGTAGACATTTTTTATTTACGCTTTTTAAGAACTTCACTGACAGTTTAAACTCACAAGTACACATGCACTTGAGAAACCTTATTAAGGAATTTATAAAAAGGACATCTCCTAATAACGAACTGGACGAATTGCGAACTGGACTTATTGCGAACTTGACCAATTGAGATTTGGACAGTTGGACATTTTGCTAATTGGACATAATACGCTCAAACGACATAATTATTAATTTCTTTCTAACTTAATCGTGCCGTGTGGTGACGGATTAAGAATACAGAGTGTCACCACCCCTATTCATCCCGTGGGTGTCGTAAGAGCCGACTAAGGGAAAAAACTAAGCAGGACAACAGCACTGCAGAGAGAAGAAAAACTTGACACAAACCCTTTACCAACCCGTCTGGCCAGCGTGGTATAGTAGGCCAAAACCTCCTTTCTCAGGAGAGGCTTATGTCCAGCAGTGGACTATTAAAGGCTGTTGATGATGATGATGATGATGAACTTAATCGCTAATATTCTTACTTTGCTATAATTAATTCATGTTAATACATAAATAAACAAATTATCTAACTTCGCAGCATTCTGACACTTTGCTGACGCATCAGAATAATTAACAGCGCACTTTGAGGAACCCAAAGTTTTGAGGACATTTCTACAAATCAAAATTATTAGAAACGACGACCACAAAGGACATCCACAATATACTTCTGGGTACTACATGCGTGATTTATTTTCCAAGATAAGAGCATAGAAACCTTGTCTAATTGTCAAGATTGACGAGGGTATGGATTTGGTTTAATGCTTTTCAAGCGATGTTTTTTTAGTTAATAATAATACCCCACACATCTCACACACGGCGGTCTGATCCCAAACTAGGCAAAGCCTGTACTATGGTAACCAGACCGCTAATAAACATATTTATACATTCTAAATACATTATAAATAAATTACACCCAGACAAATAACAAATGATCGTGCTCATCACACAATTACTTGTCCTGAGTGGAAATAAAACCCACGATCTCTGGTTTAGCAGTGAGGATTATTAACCACTAACACCAGCAGTAAACCAGCACCAGTGAAGTTCTTTTAACCCCTCCACCTAAGGAAAGGCTTGCCTTATAGCTAGGTTCTTTATATACGGTGTAAAAAACATTAGTCCTACGTGTTCCTGCCGAATTGCAAAAAAAAAGAGATTTTTTGTGCAACTCGCGCACACACGCGCACACACACACACACACACACTCTTCTCTTCTTACACTGTTATTGTTTTGGATATTCAACAGAACTAGAAGTAATCAACCTAATACTAGGACTAAGGGAGAAAACTACGCACTCACAACAGCATTGCAAAGAGAAGGAAAACTTGACACAAACCCTATACCAACCCGTCTGGCCAGCAGTAGTTTATGTAAGGCTGTTAACGGTGATGACGATGATGAACTAGGAGTTAATTTTGATGAGCAGCATAATCTGGACGAATCTAAATACTAAGACTCTTGTGATTAGAATTATTTTTTTAAGCATAAAGTATAAAGCCAATTAATTTAAGTTTTTATATCGTAGTCCAAAACTTGATACGATAATATTTTAGACATTAAGAGAATTAATTTGAATGTTATTATGAGTGTAATAAACTTTTGACACGATAAAATCTTTATTTTGGTGATTACGTACGAAATTTACATTTTAGGAAAAATACAAGCTGGCGCACTGTTGGTTTCATCTCGTGAGCTGTTGGGACCAAACCATTTTTGTGATTTTTTCCTGTTTGTCGAACGGAAGAAATAGAGCACGGGTGGCGCATGTTTAAGAGGTTGCCTCGCCGCTTACTACTACGCTGAGTGTTGTGGGTCTGATCCCCACATAGGACGACACTTTGTGTGATCCACAAATTGTTATTCTGAGTCTGGGTGTTCTTTGTGTCCGTTTCATGTATGTTTGTAAAGTCCCCCGAGATACAGGATACGTTCCTAATGCTGAAGTTGTCTTTTATAAGAAAAAAAAATAGTCAGCACCAGAGCGAAATCTGGAAATTTCGTGAATATCTAGTCACATCTAATAATTGACTTTTAAGAAGTATCACAGACCTGTATCGTGATGCATTATAATAAACTGGTTCTTCATTCCTAAAGTTTCCACCCTTAGGGGTGGTTTATATCTTCAAATTTAAGCGAAACTAAATGGAAACTAAACTCTCCCAAGTAAAAAAAATATTTTTCCAAAACGGTTAAAAAATTCAGTTCTGAGGTAACAAACATAAAAAAGCGACTCGAAGAACCTCCTTTCTCCAAGTCGGTTAAAAATTTAGACAGAATTCTGCAAAAAAAAGCCAAAACTTACGACGACAAAGTACGAGTAAATGAAATTTCTGCAACTTCCCGTTTGGTGAACTTCCCGTTTCGAACACTTCAATATTACGTCAGCGAAAACAGTTCCTTAATAAACTTCGAATGCTTTACGTCATATTTTTTTGTAGTTTTTTTAATGCCAGTTGTAAAAAATTCCGTTCACATGACACATCACCAGCCTTTAATAGTCCATTGCTGGTCATAGGCCTGTCCTTAGAAAGGAGGTTTTGGCCCATCAATCAGAATAGCCTAATAAATTTTAAAAAATCTTAAATTATGTATAAATGAAATTATGTATTAACTATTATCTTATATATAAAATTCTCGTGTTACAATGTTAGTTACCATATTCCTTCGAAACGGCTGGACCGATTTTTATGAAATTTTGTGAGCACATCGAGTAGGTCTGAGATTCGGCCAACATCTATTTTTCATACCCCTAAATGACAAGGGTGACCCCTAAATTTTTAATATTTCCTAGAAATAATGTATATGGCAATACAACGTTTGCCGGGTCAGCTAGTTTTACTATATACATGTGCACCTCAGCAGCACTATGTCTGGGCTGTCAAAAAAAGGTGCATAAAACTTTTTTTGATTACGTTTAACAAAAAACAATTGACACTCGCTTTTCTGTTTTAACTAGATTTTTAATGCGTACATTTAAAAATTTATAAAAACAATAAATAAAATAACTTAAATGTTTGGATCCTTATATGACTTCTATCAGAACTTACCTTAATTTGATGGCAAAGAAAGAAGGCAGAAGAATTATTAGTCTTGAATAGAGATAGTAGAACTACTAAAAAAAAAACCAAATCTTCCATAGCCACGGTTGGAAATCAATTTTTTTGGAACATGTTTTCGGCTTTCCGGCAGCAAAAAACGGGTTAAATTTTGTTCTAAAGTTCGTCTTCAACAAAAGTCGACAGTCATAAAAGTCTCGGGCTCTTAGTAGGTAATAGTCTTGGTGCTTGGCCCCCAGCTAGACCAGGAGTTTTACAAAAAAATCCAAATATTAGACACAAAAAAAAACATAGAATAATGGCATTTCTTTGTGTTCAACGACCAACTCCAAGGTAATCAAATTCGCAAATCAGATACATATTTCTCTAGTCAATTAGGGATGCGGAATTGTTAAGCAAGATTACAGAGAGATCGAGTTTCTTTGACACTTAAATCGAATAACAGTATTTGAATATAAAAATCTAATTTATGCACACTGACGTAAATTTGTTCATTCATCAAAATCTATGGAACGCAACCGGTTTTATTTAATAAAACTAGTTTGTCAAAGCCTAGTGCCTTACTACTGGTGTTTTTATACAAACACCAGCGTACATTACTAATATACGTAACAATAAAACATAAACAAACAAAGCTTCCTTACACACTCTCCGAAAACTAACCGAAAATATCAATGTTCACTGAACTAACAACAAGAAAACACGTTTAGGAATAGTACTCGAAATTAAAGCAATCCATGTGGCGATAAACGAATGACGTCAAAAAACGACTTACATATTTGATTAAAATAGTTTTCACGCTATATAAGACAAGAAACATACGAGTTCATATCATTGTGTCCTGGTTAATTGAACGTTACGCAACTCGAAAAGATTTGTTACTTCTTTCGAACATGAAACAAATAATGATGCTACTATTGATCGCGTCGAGCAGTGGGATACCAGTGGAAGCTCAAAAATCACTCGTTGACATACCTGAAGACGCTGCTATGACCTTCAATGATCTCGCTCACAAATACGTACATAAATGTGAAGAATACGACCTGATAACTGAAGACGGATATATTCTTAAGCTATTTCGAATCCCGGGAGACGAAAGTAAACCAATTCTTTATATTCATGGTGCTGTAGATTCGACTGACAGCATCCTTCTGAGAGGAAATTCTTCACTCGCCGTTGCACTGAATAAAGATAACTACGACGTGTGGGCTATCAATCTTCGAGGAAATAAATATTCCCGACGACACAGCACTATGGATCCAGACACAGATAGTAGATTCTGGGCATACAGTGTACACCAGTTTGGTTACTATGACCTGCCAACTGCAATTGACTTTATTTTGAAAAAAACTAAACAAAATCAATTGAGTGCCATTGGTTACTCAGAAGGAACAACAACAATGTATGTATTAGGTGCAACGCGTCCCGAATACAATGATAAGGTCAAAATATTCATATCATTGGCGCCAATCTGTTATTTGCATAACGTATTGCCATACATGTCGATTGCCATGGATTTAGCTCCGGTAGTGAATGACGCTTTAATAGCCCTCAAACAAGAAGAGGTTTTAGGTTCCAACTCATCAAGTACAGCCTTCGTAAACACTTTATGCAGTCCGACAGTAATAGGTTACCAGCTTTGTCTTTTAAATGGTTTGTTTCTAATGACGGGTTCGGACACAAAAGAAATTGAATCTAGCTTCTTGCCAGTAATACTGGGTCATTTTCCGGCTGGCACTTCGAGGAGAAACTTACTTCATTTAGTACAGATACGAGCAAAACAGAGATTTGCTAACTACGACTTTGGAATGGTCGGTAACTTGCTACATTACAACAGCTTAGCAGCCCCAGGTTACGATCTGAGCAAGGTGACAATGAAAGTAGCACTGATAGCAGCGAAAAATGATAAGATATCGACGATCAAAGATGTGAACCTGTTAAGAAAGCAACTGCCGAACGTCGTTGACTACAAGATCATTAAAAATAAATTATTCAATCACGTGGACTACATCTGGGGCAGGAGTACACACAAAACTTTGTACCCTTACATGTTCAAGTTACTGACAAAATATCAATGAAACACTCAGATAGAATAGCTGAATTTTTAAGGTGTATATTTATAAAAATGCCAAAGATTATTAGTTAGGAATAACCAAAGGAATATGAAGTCTTCCTACAAAGGAAATTAGACTTTTCAAAAATGAAGTGGCGTAAAAAATATTATTAGTTGACCTCCAAGTGTTAACAGTAAATATTTTAAGTGCGTGTATGTGGAATTCGGGACCTCTTACATCCTGACTTCCTTACATCCCTAAAAGCCAAGGATCGATCGAAGGGGCGTGCAATTGGAGAGGTCTATGTCCAACAGTGGACTGTGATAGGCTTATGAAGATGATGAAGTGGACTATAATAAGTGTTTAAGAGAATTAAAAATAGGGTTTGATAATTTATTTGTATTATTAGACCTATTTTTATATATTGGTATATTTAAACTTGTATAAATTAGCCAAATTACGAAGTAAAGTAGTTAATAAAAACTTTTAAACCAACTTTAATTTTTGTGTTTTACCACTTATGTTTTATGTCACGAAATTTATTTTATGTAGGAGATAAATCTCTTTATCGACAAGAACATCCATACAATTATATTCAACTACACATATAACAACTAAAATAAATACAGGATATGAACTTACTGTCATCCTGGATTTCAAGAAAGCTTTCTACACCTTCTCATTGTCTATTCTTCTGCAAATGATTGAGTAAATTGAGATAGGAGGAAAACCTTTTTAAAAGTTAATTGACAGATAGAAAACAACAATCAACATGCTCAACAGCATGACTAGTTATAAATTCGGTGAGTCTACGGTGTAACTCAGGGGAGTATGCTTGGTCCGAAGTTGTTCCTAATTAACGGACTTCAACAAAGGAGGAGGTTCTCAATTCGTCCGATTCTTTTTCTTTTATATTGTAAACTACCGCGTAACGTCGCCTTCGGCTTTATAATATTAAAAGTATTAGCAGGCCCAAACCGTGTTTAGTGAACGTAGTTGAGGCCGAACTTTCTTACGAGATCGGGCTTCACACATTTCACACATGGCCATCTGATCCCAAACTGGACAGAGCCTGTACTCTGGTAACCAGACCCCTGATAAACAAACATATATTTCTAAATACATACATATGTAGATAAATTACACCCAGACGTGAACAAGCTGTACCCAGTTGTAACCCAGGACAAATAATTGTATGATGAGCACTATCACGCTCATCATACAATTATTTGTCCTGGGTGGGAATCGAACCCACAACTGTTGGCTTAGTAGTCAGGATTGTTAACCATTAGACCAACAAGCTCTTCAGAGAACAACAGTACATATTTGAATTAAAAAATCTAATTTTTGCACAATGACGTAAACTTGTTCATTCATCAAAATCTACGTAACGCAACCGGTTTTATTTAATAAAACTAGTATTTCAAAGCGTAGCGGTTTACTACCGGTGTTTTTATATACAAACACTGGTGTCAATTACCAAGATATTTAACAATAAAACATAAACAAAACAAAGCTTCCTTACATACTCGCCGAAAACTAACCGAAAATATCAATGTTAACTGGACTCACAACCAGAAAACACGTTTAGGAATAGTGCTCGTAAGTAAAGCAATCCTTTGTTACGATTTATGAATGACGTCAAAAAAAAACTACTTACATATTTTAATAAAATAGTTTTCGCGCTATATAAGACAAGAAACATAGGAGTTCATATCATAGTGTCCTAGTTAAGTGAACGTTACGCAACTCGAAAACATTTGTTATTTTTATCTAACATGAGACAAATAGTGATGCTACTGTTAATCGCGTCGGGCCGTGGGGTTTGGACCCAAAATTCACTCGTTGACATACCTGAAGACGCAGCAATGACCTTCAATGATCTCGCCCACAAATACGTACATAAATGTGAAGAATACGACCTGATAACTGAAGACGGATATATTCTTAAGCTATTTCGAATACCGGGAGACGAACGCAAACCGATTCTTTTTATTCATGGTGCTGTGGATTCGTCTGACAGCTTCATCGTTAGAGGAAATTCTTCACTGGCCGTAGAACTGGCTAAAGATAACTACGACGTGTGGGCTATCAATCTTAGAGGGAACAGATATTCTCGACGACACACCACTATGGATCCAGACACAGATAGTAGATTCTGGGCTTACAGTGTACACCAGTTTGGTTACTATGACCTACCAACTGCGATCGATTTTATTTTGTACAAAACTAAACAGAACCAACTAAGTTCCATTGGTTACTCTGAAGGAACAACAACAATGTATGTATTAGGTGCAACGCGGCCTGAATACAATGATAAGGTCAAAATATTCATATCATTGGCACCAATCTGTTATTTGCATAACGTATTGCCATACATGTCGATTGCCATGGATTTAGCTCCGATAGTGAATGACGCTTTAAAAGCCCTCAAACAAGAAGAGGTTTTAGGTTCCAACTCATCAAGTACAGCCTTCGTAAACACATTATGTAGTCCGACAAAAATAGGTTACCAGCTTTGTCTTTTAAATGGTTTGTTTCTATTGACTGGTGCGGACGCAAAAGAAATTGAATCTAGCTTCTTGCCAGTAATACTGGGTCATTTTCCGGCTGGCACTTCGAGGAGAAACTTACTTCATTTAGTACAGATACGAGCAAAAAAGAGATTTGCTAACTACGATTTCGGAATGGTCGGTAACTTGCTACATTACAACAGCTTAGCAGCCCCAGAATACAATCTGAGCAAGGTGACAATGAAAGTAGCACTGATAGCAGCGAAAAATGATAAGATATCGACGATCAAAGATGTGAACCTGTTAAGAAAGCAACTGCCGAACGTCGTTGACTACAAGATCATTAAAAATAAATTATTCAATCACGTGGACTACATCTGGGGCAGGAGTACACACAAAACTTTACACCCTTACCTGTTCAAGTTAATAAAAAAGTATCAATGAAACACTCAGATAGAAAAGTTTGGGTTTTTAAGGTATATACGAGTATACAAAAGTGCCAAAGAATATTAGATAGAAATAACCAAAGTAGGTAGTATGAAGTAGGAAATTAGACTTTTGAAGAATGAGGTACCGTAAATCATATTAATACGAGTAGTTAACCTCTAAGAGTCTAAGTGTTAACAATAAATATTTTAGGTGCCTGAGGTGGACTACGGGACCTCTTACACCCGGACTTCCTTACATCCTGAAAAGTCGAGGATCGATCTCAGGGGCGTGCAATTGGAGAGGTTTATTTCCAACAGTGGACTGTGATAGGCTGATACAGATGATGAAGTGGATTATGGACCATATTATTAGTTAAGAGTAATTTAGTGAATTAGAAAAAGGGTTTGCTAATTTTCTTTGTATTATTAGATCTATTTGTATACAGGTATACAGGAACAAAAATATAAGTTTTAATAAAATATACGTGCCTTTTGGAGTTGGTCGTATGGATATGTTTTTTTATACGCATGCAATGTATGTATAAACTAAATAAATAAATTAAAATATAATTATGTGAAATGTCCAATAATTATTTATAAATTTCAATCCAGAAAGATGAAGAAGATGATTCAGAAGAAATGTTAAATATTGTTTAAAAAATTTCAATTCAAATTTCATTTTGGTAAAAAAAAAACACTTTTGTAAAATATACCTAACTAAATTTCCTCATTTGGTCCGTATTATTTTTTGATATATTACGTTAAATATCACAAATTTTACAGTCAATAGTATCCCAGGATTTTGCTGCTATCACATTTCTAGTTTTATTTGTATTCTTTCAAATCTAGCTAGGTCCAGATCTGTTAAATCAAGGCCTTATAAATCCACACTGAGTTTTTTGAAAGATAGATAAATCTCATTTTCTCATTTTAATAAGACAACGCCCGCATTAGGAATATATATTCCTGTGTCGCGGGGGACTTCACAAACATACATGAAACGAACACAAAGAACACCCAGACTCAGAACAACAATTTGTGGATCACACAAAGTGTTGTCCCATGTGGGGTTTGAACCCACAACACTCGGCGTAGTAGGAAGCGGCGTGGCGACCACTTAAACCACTACGCCATCCGTGCAGTCGCATTCAATTATATCAAATGAAGGTAAATCCCATCTAAACAAAGGCTATTTATATAGGCTATTGGATATTTTGGGTCTAATTTATTCTACTACCTTTGAAATTAATAAATTAATTAAAAATAAAATGAAATTCGAATGTAGTGTAGTCTGCAGGGTAAATATCCCTATGACTTATTTTTAACCGACTTCAAAAAGGAGGAGGTTATCGATTCGGATGTTGGTATATATATTTTTTATGTATGTTCGGGCATAACTCCGTCATAAATGGACGGATTTTCAAAATTATTTTTTTGTTCGAAAGAGGTTTATGCCGAAATGGTCCCATTTAAATTTCATATAGATCTGATGACGAGTTTTGGAAACAGACAACGGAGCTCTTCAAAAAATGACAGCAAATTAACCGCGATTGCTGCTAGGTATTTTGCTGCTAGGCTCTTTGTTAGTATTAGTGTTTGATTTAAATCTTGAAAATCGTTGAAAATCCGTCTATATATGAAGGAGTAATGCCCGAACATACATGAAAAATATATAAACATCCGAATTGATAACCTCCACCTTTTTGAAGTCGGTTAAAAAAGCATATCAACGAGAGTAAGGAGACACTTTCGTATTATAAATATGAAGGTTAAGGTAATTCCTGATGCTTTTCAGAAAGCATTATATCTACCACTTTGAGGTTTTTGTAATCCATATATCTAACTGGCGATAACTATTAATTAAAATAATAATTAATTAGCATTTTTTTAAGTCTGAATTCGGCGTTCATTGAAATGGTAAGTTGTAGGAAAATAAATGTTTTTGTACTGAAATGTCAGATGTAGAGATAGATACCGAAAACTTCCGCGTAACAGTTCCGTAAACTGTCCGCATTCTGTCACGACTGAGTGACAAAAACTAAAAATTATCTAGAAATAATTCATTTACTTACTTCTATACACC